AACCTATGCTGTATTCAAAAGCAAAACCAAAAAGTACCTAATAGCATAATCATAGTTTCCTACCTTGTGTTTCAACCTCACACCGTATCTTGTACTTCCCACTTCCCCAGTACTAGTACTTAAGACATGTAACATTTCCAGTATCATTAATACAATTAATTTTTAATTGTAGTTATTATATTGAAATCAAATTCTGCTACAATGTACCTTTTAATTACTCTTACTTTTATCTGTTAGATTAAGGACCTCTCCATACCTTCTTATAAATAAATAAATAAATAAATAAATAAATAAATAAATAAATAAATAAATAATACATATATAAATAAATAAATACAGACTATCAGGAGGGGAGCAGTTGAGGGACCACAAGCCTAACAACAATGCTGATGTCATCAAAACTTTCAAAATATTGAACAAGTTGGAAGATATTAATTCAGACCACGTTTTTGAAAGGTCAAATGCAACACAGACAAGAATCAACGGTTTCAAGCTCAACAAGCTGCAATATAGGACAGAAAACGATGGCCCTCAGGTAAATTTAGGTAAGAAATTTACAGATGGTACAAAAATCCATGTCAAAGTGGGCACGCTCCTGTGCCAGGGTAAGTCCACTACGGGCTCACCATAGCCCGTGCTACTTGGAACTTGTTCCGAGTAGCTGAATCTATAAGAACAACAACAAAGTGGGCAGCGAAAGTAACATTGAGGTCTTGTGAAACCATCCACATGAACCACACAAATGGTCAGAACGCTGACAAATGCTTCTTAAAATGTAAAGAAAGCAAGGCCTTACATGTAGGGCATAATAATACACGTTAGTGCCATCATATCAACAGCACGATAATGCAGCAGATTGAAAAAGAAAAATCACGAATGCCAAGACTAAATACAGGCGGCTTTGACAACCCACCGGCTTCTTGTCTCCGTTTTCGCTACTACTACTACTACTACTAATAATAATAATAATAATAATAATAATAATAAAATAATAATAAGAATAAGAATAAATAATAATAATAATAATAATAATAATAATAATAATAATAATATAATAGTAATAACAATACGGTTTAAAAATAATAATATACATTGCTTATAAACGCTATCCGTGCTAGTGGCTTTTCAAGAATGTAAGAACTCTTGTATAAATAAATAAAACAATTGATATAGAAAACATATATGGCGCAGCACTGATCAGCATCTCGGGGCCAATATTAAAATTAAGAAGAAAAAATCATGGGAACAGGTCGGCGGGATGTCCTGCCCCCAGGATTGTATCCCAGATACAGTATATCATGTTACTGTGATTTCACTAAGTGTATAAAACTAACATGTTGGCAAGTCTTAACATTTCACTGCGTGTATAAGACTAACATGTTGGCAAGTCTTAACATTTCACTGCGTGTATAAGACTAACATGTTGGCAAGTCTTAACATTTCACTGCGTGTATAAGACTGACATGTTGGCAAGTCTTAACATTTCACTACGTGTATAAAACTAACATGTTAGTAACTCTTAAATATTGTTATGGTCATTTAAGGAACTGAGTTAGTAACATGTATTACTAATATATAAGAAAGTTGTAGGCACTGTGAGCAGTGGACCCCATACCCATCCTGTGGCTGATAGTGGGCCCCATACCCATCCTGTGGGTGGTAGTGGACCCCATACCCATCCTGTGGGTGTAGTGGATCCGAAAACTTTCCTGTGAGCAGTAGTGAGCCCCATTACCACCCACAATGAATCATGTGGATGTTGTAGTGGACCCATTATGCCACTTCTGCTTTGGTTGAGTCGTACATCAAATAAGAACTTTCTTGTTATTTATCGGATAGTGCCCGTGGGTTATGTATCATCCCTCATAGTACCTTTAGTAGAGCGACAGTCTCACTTCATGCAGGTCAGCGTTCAATCCCTGACCGTCCAAGTGGTTGGGCACCATTCCGTTCTCCCGTCCCATCCCAAATCCTCATCCTGATCCCTTCCAAGTGCTATATAGTCGTAATGATTTGGCGCATTCCCCTGATCATTCCCACCCTCCTTTCCCTCTTAGCAAATGTTTGAAGTCAGTCTTGATAATGTACTTTAAAGTTTTAAAAATATAGAGTACCCATGAAAGATTGTCGCACTAACAGACACCTCAGATGAAAGAAAACGTTGGCCAAACTCTTTTGTCCTGCCACAGGAATTGAACCCGGGACCTTTTGATAGTGATTCTACTGAGTTGATCACTGACCGCTCATTAGGCTTACTATGGAGTACAAATTAATCTCGTTTAAATTAAATCTGTTTTACTATTGTCATGAAATATGTATAGGATATAACATTGTGTTCACTGTAACTTTAGTACAATGAAATGTAAATTTCCTTATTATCACAGTTTCTATGAGTTATAGCAAAAGTATATATTAATTTTCTCTTTTTTTGACATACTTGCCTTGCTAATTAATAATAGCCTAACATATTGCGCTTCCATGCCGTGAATGGTCTAATTTATGTAGGTGTACTCCTTTTACCAGTCAACCAGACAGACATTACATCCGTAATTCAATCTCTTAAAACCAAAGCTGGGAACATCAATGAAATACCATTTATGATATATAAGAGTGCTGCCCCTGTTCTTGCACTACCCATAGCTCTGCTATTCAACAAATCTCAAGTGTCATACTTTTCCTGATATCCTTTAAAAAGCAAGAGTGACGCCAGTTCATAAAGGAGGCGAGACAACTGACATAAATAATTACAGACCAATCTAAAATCTACCTATACATTCAAAAATATTTGAGGAAAATTATTTACAAACAGCTCTATTCCAACTTTGCAAAACTCAACATATTAAGTCTCTGACAGTTTAGCTTCAGTTCCCAAAAAAGTACCAATGATGCCATTAGTAGTCTGCTAAATATGATCTACACAACCCTCGACAAAAATGAGTTCCCAATTGGCCTTTTTCATTGACCTGAGAAAGGCCTTTGATACTGTAAACCATAACTACCTCTTACTTAAACTTCATTACTGTGGTATCCGAGACCTTGCTCTGAACTGTATTCGTTCAGTTCTCAGTGACAGACACCAATATGTAGCCATAAATAACACAACCTCCTCCACTCTACCATTAACAGGAGGATTGCCACAGGGCAGCATCTTAGGACCTCTCCCATTTCTTATATACGTCAATGATTAACCAAATATTTCTAACATTTTTAAACCTATACTATTTGCTGACGATACTACTTTCATCTTTTCTGACTCCAACCCCCACACTCTAAATAATATTGTCAATGATGAATTTTAAATAGTCCACTCATGGATGTTAGCCAACAAACTCACTAAACTAAAAAAAGACTTGCTACATTTTATTTGGTACTAAATCATCAAATCAAATTCAACTTCAGATAGACAATGTTAATATTAGCAATAAAAATGAGGGAAAGTTCCTTGGCTTATACATAGACAAGAGACTGAACTTCAGCACTCACATGTAACACATAGTCAAACATCTCTAAAACGGTCGGTATACTTTTTAAAATCAGATATTATGTGCTCCACTCTGCTCTCCTCTCATTATACTCACTAATCTATCCGTATCTTACATACGGCATCTGTGCATGGGATTCAACCACTGCAAATTACTTCAAGCCCATCATCATTCAACAATTCAATTGCAAACAAAAATCTGCAATCAGAACTATAACAAACTCTGTCTTCAGACAACACACAGCCCCTCTGTTTAAGTCCCTTAACATGCTAAACATACTCTCACTCCACACATTCTCATATGCTATTTACATATACAAAACTTTATTCCTAAATGCTACTCTTGATCTGAAACTTTTCCTTGATAGATGTAATAGAACCCATGAGCACCACACCAGAAATCAATATCTCTTTGACATCCTCAAACTAAATCTGTGTAAACACTCCATGCAAATCCAAGGAACCCAGTCTTTGGAACTCACACCCTGACGAATTAAACATTTTTCCAACATATGCTCTATTCAAAAGTAAAACCAAAATGTACCTAATTTTATCCTCATAGTTTCATACCTTGTGCTTCAAACTTACACTGTATCTTGTACTACCTACTTCCACAATATTAGTACTTAAGACATATATCTTTACCAGTGTAATCACCTCTGTCAATTTATATTTTAGTTATCTGTTGATATAAAACCTTGCTACAATGTTCCTTTTCATCTTACCTTTTCATCTAACAATAATATGTTAGATTAAGGACCTGCCCGAAACGCTATGGATGTTAGTGGCTTTGCAAGAATGTACAAATACCAATCTTATGTAATTTCACCAACCCATTGTACCTTCTTGTGAATAAATTATTATTATTATTATTATTATTATTATTATTATTATTATTATTATTATTATTATTATTATTATTATTATTAATTAGGGAGTGTATGTTACCTATTAATTGCATTTTAAGTACGTGAAGTCATGATGTACGAGGTTGAAAATCTTTTTCATTGGCTACGTATTTTTATTTAGGCAGAGAAGAACAATCTTGCCAAATACACATGTCACTGGGATTAAAATTCAGTGGCCTTATATGTTCCACTCCATTTTCTTTGAATCCAACTGTTGCTCCATTCCGCTTCATAGCTGGTAATATTATAAGTTGATTTCCTTACGAACAGCTTGGTAAACATATTTCCATAAACGTCATAATAATATTTTTGTTTATATGTAAATACTATAACGTTTAAAATACATATTTCTACTTTAAATTTAATGCGTTTCTACGAACTCTTTCCAAACGATGTCAACGAATATCACTTTAATTAAAATTTCTTGTAATATACTGCACAGAATGGAACCAAAATCCTCATCAATAACTATTATATGTTTTTGGTTCATCTCTAATTGAATATGAAGCATACATGCGGCTATTTATGCCATAAAATGCCTCCATGTGTTAGCGGAGGAGGGAAAATATTACTGGAACGCGGCCCAGGCCATGGTTGGGAGACGTATCAATGGCAGTGTAGACATGGCGGGGCTAGGGTGTGGGAGTTTTGGGCTCAGTAATAATGTGACGCAAAATAAATCTTATATTCATGTGAAGTTGACGGATTCTGCGTTTAGAGCGATAGAGGATTACATAAGGATAAAGGTGAGTACTTTATATTTGGTGTAGTGTGGGAGGAAGGGCCGCAATGAGGCGACGGATGGTGTTAGTGTGGTCACACAGGAGGGCAGTGAATGGCTCTACATTTTAGAAGGCCGTGAGGTGCCAGCGGCGGCGGTTAGCCCTAGTATTAGCCCTCACTACCCGAGGCCTCCCAGGTGATGCTGCTCATGCTATGTAAACGGGAAGTCAGGAAGGCTACTGGTTGTAGAGCGCGGTGATTGTGCACAAGTAGCCCCCAGTGTGTGTGTGTATGTGTGTGTGTGTGTGTGTTTGTGGATCAGCTGCTGCGACCACCTCCAGTCAGCAGCTGTTGGCAGTCAATGTAGGCCACACTCACTCACTCACTCACAGTTACACTCATCTCCCCTCCGCCTCTCATCATTCTCATAGCTATGATGAATTCCTAACCAGTATTGCAGTTTAGACAGGAAAGTAGACTTTTTGTGTACATTCCAAGGTTATAACCTTAACTATCCCTCAAGCGCCACTTGGCTGGATAAGCGGCCATACTGATAATTGTAAATATATATATATAAACATTGTGGCTCTCGATAAATGAAGTAATAAATGGCTCTCTTTACAGAGGGAAAATTTATGTTGGTTTAGTGAGAATCTTTTGTTGTAGCCATCAAGGAATCTTTTAAGCTTGAAAATTTATATTATTTTTCTGTAATTATACATCCGTATACAGACATTTAGGCCTTTATACATTCATTCAATGTATGTATATTGTCATACGTTTTAGGTAGAACAAGTAAATAAACCAATTTCCCAACATAATAATGTTTTGATAATTTTCTCTTATGCTTTAATACATTCAATTCAGCATTTATGGCATGCATTTTTATATAGTAATTTCAATCAAAACTAACTTAGCAATCTCATCTAATCAAAATGGGCTACTTATTACTCTCTATTGCCTAACGTAAATAAAATTTAACCTGGTTGATACCTGGTTGATGGGGTTCTGGGAGTTCTTCTACTCCCCAAGCCCAGCCTGAGGCCAGGCTTGACTTGTCAATATTAAATAATGACTCAAGTTGTTGTTCAAATTTGTCAGTATTGTCCAGTTTTAGGCAATAAATAACAATTCCAGTGAAGTTACTGTTTAAAAAGGCACAAACTCCATAATGAGATGGATGAGCTTTTCTTGCCTAGGCAAGGTGGACAGTTTTGCCTAAAAAGAATGACAAAAATCATGTCCTGAGTGAAGGTAATGATAGTAGAGTTTACAAATATCAGCTTAACAATGTTGAAATTGCCAAATCTAAATGTGAACAAGATATGGGAGTAATGATTGGTATGAATCTTAAGCAAAAAAAAAAAAAAAAAAAAAGCATGTGTGTTTGGAATAAAGCAAATAGCAAACTGGGATTTATTTCTAGAAGTGTTAGCAATAAGGCATAAAATATTCTTTCGCTTTATCTTGCCAGTGTTAGGCTCCATTTAGATTATGCAGCTAAGTTTTGGTCTCATAATGCGGAACATAAATATACTTGAAAATGTACAGAGAAAGTTGACAAAGTTAATCTCAGGAATTAGAAACCGTCCTTGATATTTTTTATTAAATAAACGTCATTTACATTCTCTAGAAACACACAAAATTAAAAAGATTGATGTTTATAGATGGATGAAAAAATATAACAAACTGTAAATAACTGTTTAAATTTTATCAGTACAAAGTTGATGTTACTGTAATTTTATAAGTTGAGATTCAGGAAAGACCTGTGTAAATACTGGTTTGGAAATAGGGTTGTAGATTTATTAAACACATTCTCGTATAGCATAATAGATAGGGGATTGGTGGATTGTTTCAATTGTAAGCTTAGACATATGTATACTGTATACAGGCCCAAATGGGCCAAGAATTCTCTGCAGAATCCCGGTAATACAGTTGGGCTCATTTTTTATTCATAATCAAGAATTCTGGGTTCAAATCCCTGGCGGGGCAGAAATGGTTGGATGCATTTCCTATTACCTGATTCTCCTGTTCACCTAGCAGTAAATAGGTACCTGGGACTTGTTGTGGGGTTGCATAATTTTTTTTTTATTTGTATATACAAGATTTCTTACATTTTTGTAAAGCTTAATCTTAATTTTTCCGGGAATATGACCCGCCAATTCAATTAATAACCAGGTGCTGAGTGCTTTTAACAATTCATTGCTGGATGAACAAAGGCATATGGCAATTGCTGGATGAGCAGAGACTACTTGTAAATTATTATATGAACGAGTTTGGTTGGATATAAATATGAGCAATTTTCGTATGGGTCAAAATGCCTTTGGCAATCTCCTTTATACCTGTGTTCTTATGAATACAACTTTGTTGTTGATATAGAACTGGAAGCTTTTCTACTCTCCAAGCCTGGCCAGGCTTGACTTGTCCAGCCTGCCCAGTAAAGCAGACTGTTTCTTGGAGGAGCTTGCAGGCCCACATATCCACTACAATCTGCACTTCTTGCAAAAAACTGTCTAATTTTTTCTTGGTCAACGTTTGTCCCAGAAATATTTCTTATACCTGCTTGGCAGATATTGAACAGCTGTGGATCTCTGATGTTGATACAGTGTTCTCTGATTGTGTCTGTGGCACCTCTACTTTTCATTGGTTCTATTCTGCATTTTCTACTGTATTGTTCACTCCAGTATGTTGTTATTTTACTGCACAAATTTAAAACTTGGCCTTCCAGTATTTTATCTATGTACAGTATTGTATGATACCTCTCTCAGCTTTCCAGAGTATAGTACATATAGCGTTTTGAGACAGTCCCAATAATTTAGTTGCTTTATCGTGTCTGTGTGCTGTATGTACTCTGTAATCCCCCCCTCTATAATTCTTAAGTTCTAAACTTAAAAAGGAAGTACAAATGAATACAGTATACAGTATATATCAGAAAACTTATGCTCATGAAGAGTTCGAATCCAGACAGCTAGGCGCTCCATACACCTTCGCATATCTAGTACCTTACCCACTACACCACAACAACTGTTCAGTCAGTCAGTAAACAGTCAGTATGGTGTAGTGGGTAAGTACTAGATATGGGAAGGTGTATAGAGTGCCTAGTTCTTTTAAGTTGTGAGGGTACCACCCCTGGTGTGCAAGTGTGGGGACCCATAGCCTCGGAAAATAAAATAAAGAGTATTCAGAGAAGACCTTGTGGATTCTGACTGAACACTTTTAATATATACTGTATATATTGGTATCAGTCTTTCTTTTATACATATTTTGTTGAAAATGACTAAAGTTTTAGATTTATGAGTCTGGCACGAATTTTCTCGATGGTCTTTGTTTTTCTTTACTAAGGCAGGAAGATTAAAAATTTACTCTCCAAAGTTCATTTTTACTTATTATTTGGGTCTGACACATAGTGATACGTTTCGTAAGGTCTCACCTCACATTCTCAAAGACAGATTCTTCTGTGTTAGCACCTGATTATATCCTCTAGTGGTGAGGTGGTAGGTGACATGGATGAATGACATACCTGGGGTATTAATGGGGTTGTATAAAATGTAGTAAATTAAGAGTGTGACATGTTGGCAGTTTGTTCTGGTTGCTTCCATTCCTGTTGCAGGGTTATTCGGTCCTGATTATGCATTGGCCTGGGGTCTTGAAGTGGGTAGATTGTAACTATATTAGCTTGTTATTGATTGCTGGTCTAGATTTCTTGATATGTAGTGCTTCACTATGTCTAATCTTCTATTGTCATTGTATAAATTATTTTGGTGTTGCTCTTCAAAATATCCATGATGATCGTCTCGTGTGTGGCAATTATATGTTCCTATATATATATATATATATATATATATATATATATATATATATATATATATATATATATATATATATATATATATATATATATATACAGTATATATATATATATATAAACCCATCTTGTTTAGATAGTATCTATTGTGATGATCATCAAGTCGCGAATTCGTATATAGAGTACAGTACTTAACTTTTAGATAGTAGTATACTGACTTGTAAGAAAATCTTTAATACAAAATGAAGCTAAAAAAAAAAACTGAAATATACCTATACCTAAATATAGCACATGTGTGTGCTATACTAGGCCTCAAATATCATGTATTAGGCCTAGGAAGGTTTGGTTAGGTTAGTTTGTCTTTGCGACACAAGTAAAAAATAGTTTTTCGGGTTATCCAACTCAATAGTGCCGATTTCTACTTTCCAGTTTCGTTGAATGTCGGTATATATACTATAGTTCTCGTCATTACTATAAGTACTACCAAAACAGAAGGATGGGCTGTATAGATAGATAGATAGATAGATAGATAGATAGATCCCAGCTTTGTACACTGCACCACACAGTAGGCCCTCTGAAAATTAATTTGTACCTTGCATGTAACCAATGTTATAATCCATTTTGTGTAATGGATTATAACAACAATACCTTTATATATATATATATATATATATATATATATATATATATATATACATATATATATATATATATATATATATATATATATATATATATATATATATATATATATATATATATATATATATATATATATATATATATATATATATATATATATATATATATATGATGGATATATGTAATTCTGGATACAACTGCTTAAAGTGAAGGCCAGATGCTTGGAGCAAGCCTCATCAATTTTTCTTGATAATTGCTGTTGGGTATATGCTCAACATGGCCAGGTCAGGGTCGGGACCTATGAAACAAATACAGCATGGCATAGTGCCATAAGGACCCTTACCCCATCTCTCCACCCTCCTCCACTCCATCCGCCCCTTTCCTTCCTTTCCCTTCCTCCTCCTCCCTCTTTTCAACTTTCCTTCCTCCTCCCCCCTTTCCCTCTTTCCCTTCATCTCCCCTCCTCATTCGTCCATTTCCCTCTTTCCTTCATTTCATTCCTCCCTTCATTTCAATTTTTCCATCCTTTCGTTCTACCTTCACTTTCTTCCACTGTTATCCTTTTCTTCGTGTTTT